TAGATAAAGAAAGTAATTATACTAATTTTCAAAACACAAGAAGTCAAGACTAAATTAACACACCCTTTTAGAAGCTAGGTGGCTGTTAAGGCAAGTAATCAAGATTCTTTTTCCTCTTCTAAATGCATGTGCAATTTACCTATTTTTTTTGTTCATGATAAAGTTTAGGAATCAAAGAAGACATTTTATGTGTAAGTACTATAAAGAGTTATGACATTCTAAAATATGAAAAATTCATGATGTAACTGAGGAAATAACCAGATAGTAAGTAAGAAAAAGGAAAAACAGTTTCTGTTGTGGTGAAAAGATAACTTATATAAAAATATTGAAGAATTCGTTTTTTTCTATTTGAATGTTTAGAAAATTGAGTATATTGCAACTTATAACTAAATTAGCTAATATTTATAATAAATAAACTTAAAACATTACATATTCAATATATTCAATATAAATTCAGAAAATAATAGTGATTGAGAGAATTTTAAGGAAATGAGGTATGACCTGATGAGTTTGGTAAAGGCCAGGGGATTTCGTGAAAGGAAAAGTGAACCCCAGTAAAAGGCTTTGCAACATCCATATAAATTGCAGAAGATGATACAGAACACCCACAGGTGCCAGCTCTTAGAAATGTGTGTCTATGTTTTCTGTTATTCCACAATGACCTGGAACTGTAACTTTTTAGTATATTCCCTAAATTATCTAATCTAACCTATTAGAAATCACAGAGTAACTAAACTTGAAACTTCACTTTGCCATAATATATATATATAATATACATATACATATTATATATAATATACATATACATATTATATATATAATTTATCTTTATTGTGTTTTTGGTTACTCCTCTTCTGTGGTCTTCTTCTAAGCTGTGCAATTTGTAATGTCTGAAAAGTAGATCTATTTGTGCTGTTGAGCCCTTTACAAGGATTACATGGTAAATTTATAAAAATTTTAGTTGATTTCAATTGTTTGGCTTTTGTTTTTTCCTTTTAATTAAAAAATTTATTTACTTTGTTTTATTTTGTGAGTATGAGTGTTCTTCACGTACTTATGTGTGTATGTCTCTAGTCATGTGAATGCCTGGTACCTGCTGAGGTCAGAAGAAGACACCAGATTTCCTAGAGTTGGTGTTATGGATAATTGAGTTGTTAGGAACAGACCCTGAGGCCTCTACATAGAAAAACAGGGCTCTCAACTGCAAAGCTATCTCTCCACCTCCTTACTTTGTCCTTGAAATATTTGATATTTTTCCTTATGTTATTTATTCAAACTTCAAAAATACCCCCCTAAATTTGAACAATTAATTTCCTACTTTCATACTACATTATTTTTCTCTTTTTAGTAGAGGTGAGATTTAGTTTCTGAGAGCCATGTTTATTTTTCAAAATGTGCCAAATCTGTGAGAAGACAGGATATCTAAGTGAAAGCTCCTGTAGCGGTCCCATTAAGGGTACCATGAAACCGTCAAAATTCTAAATGAAAAGAAATTCTCCAAATTTGTTGAATGTGAGAAGTGATAATTCTGTTGAAGTAGTAAGAGCAATGCCATTATTTTACTTTCTAATAATAGTTTTCTTTTTAAAGTTTGGAAGAATGTAGAGTACTTTCAGTCTGGACAGAACTTATGATATCTTGGCGTTCAATAATTATAAAAATTATCACACACAATTAACTTATGCTTAATCGTTCTGAGAACAGATGGCAAAGTTAAACAGAATTTGCATATTCAGAATCAAAAAGCAGGATTGTGATTGAAAACGCATATTGAAATATTTTAACAAAATCACCACATTTCCAGACAAAAAGAGATTCTATGACTTCTTACATTTACATTTTCAGCTTTGCGTTCATCCCCACGTTGAGAAGTTGAATGTTTCACTGTGTGTGTGTTATAGTCATCTAATTATCAGGTCAATCTGTTTTGCACTGTATCCTAGTCTCCAAGTATTAGTACATGTGGTTATAAATAACATGTGTTTGAGAGGCTTGCAGATGGTAAATTTCTTATTAATGGGTTTGAACAAGCCAGATATAAATCCATATCTTGAAGAGAAAAGCCAGTCAATTGTTTTGGCTTAGTAAGTTACTTAGTTTCCATCACATTCATTACCTAAATACATTATAAACTCTTACTTCAGAAACACTGCCAAACTATTGTATTTATATCTAGTAGGCAGACTAAGTCTCTAACTCACTTGGATTCCATTTAATATAACAAATGGAAGATACATACATATAAGAAACATGATAAAGCCTGAATGGGTAGATAACTATGCAATTATAATATATTCTAAAATATTAAAAGAAATATTTTTAAAATATATCAAATATATCTCTTTCTCTATCCCCTATCTCTGAATATCTGTATTAGATGGGAAGTCACTGTGGGTGGGTTTGTTAAACTATCTTGGATTAATGAATGGGCTCAATATATTCATAATAAGCTTTGAAATGTTAAGAGGAAGGCAAGACAGCCCAGAAGCGTACATAAGCCATGTTCTAGTGGATGTACATGGCTTGTAAAAGTCTGTGAAGTGTCAGCAAAGAGACCCTCTCCCTGCTACCACTTCAGGCAGGCAGAATTAGTGCAACTCAGTTCCCATAGTTATTTTATTCCAGTAGAGACAGTTTTAGGATTTTAGCTACATAACTGCAAGATAATATTGTTGTTTTATAAAGCTACTAAGGTAATGGTTAATTTTCACAGTTCGTCTAGGAAGAAGATACATTTCCTGTTTTCCATTATTACTTACTCTCCTCAGACCTCTTTCCTGCTCATTGTGTGATATATGTTATCTCAGCACAGTTAACAAACCTGCTACCAGTTAAATATCTTAATCATGTGCCAATCTTTGATTAAAAGCTTTCTGAGAACTTGAACTTCTTCTGTGGATTAATATTTGAGACAACTATTATTGAAATATATCATTATTCATGTTAATAACATGAACATTCAATACATGGATGATATTTAATTCTTTGTGAGTCTAAATTTATTTTCCTTTCATGAATCAATATAATAAAAACTATTACTTCATTAACTTTTCATTTTTTGTTGAAAAAAAATGTTTGTCATACACTGTATTCTGATCATGCTTTTTCTCTTCCCCATTCCTTTTGGATTGTCACCTCTTTATACACAGAACCCCATGTGTGTTCTTTCTTTCTTTATAAAACAACAACAATAACAACAACACAAAATTACCTATGGGTGTGGTGACAAAAAAGCAAATGGCTTTGGCATGGTCACAGAGCTATTCATCACACTTCCAAGACTTAAATTCATTTGAGTCTGGCTTCAAAGTTTTTGTTAAAGTTATATCGTCCTCTCTCGAGGTGGGAACACAAATTTACATTAAATTCTGTTCCCAATACTAACTCCACATGACAGAGATCAAGTTAGTTTAGTATTATAAAAAGACCAAAAGATCAAGCTTAGTTACCAACTGAGTTCTCTCTTGTGTTTGAAAAACATACTTGGATATCAGTCTTGAAAGCATGCTGTCACGTTCCTGGAGCCAGTGTCTATAAAATTTGAAGCATCTCTCATTTTCTGCATAGGTCCTGTGTAAGTGCTAATCATATTAGTCAAGCATATTCCTAACATCTCCTTCCATTCGAGCAGTGCAGAGTGAAGAATCTTGCCAATATGTGATATTTTAAGTATATAAATTGTGAATTCTTCATGCACAAAAATGAATAGAACAATACCTCCTCTCTCCCTCCTACATTAGGGGAATACATTTTCAATATTTCTTTAATTTCACATTCATATTCCTTTTGTCTTGTGATGTCATTAGATAACTTGAATATTCATAAAGTATTATATGCTAATAGAAAACCTTTTTTTAACTGGGTCAGCAACATGTTTTAATAGTTTTGTGTTTTATCCCATGAAATAGAGTTTTCTGTGGATATTTTTTTTCTCTATAATGAATTCCTAAGTGTATATATATTCAATACGTAACTGGGTGGTTAAAACAAGTACCTAGTTATGTTCTTTGGATTGCATCTGGCTAATGCTTATTATTGTTGGAAAACTGATGTTAGTGCTCAATTGGAGCTAAAAAACTGTAACACCTCCCATCTCACCTTTTCTGATTTTCTTTTATACAGATTCTCCCTGTATCACCTAGTCTGTCCTCGGAGTCATTCACTATGTGCTCAAAACTGGTACCAAATGTGTTATACTCCTGATTCCCTTCCCAATGAACTGAGATAATAGCTATGTGTTACCAACACTGGTCAATTCTTTTCCTACAAACCTTTCCTTAATGGCTTTATTCTATAAAAAAGCAATTGCATTTTTTTTTAAAGTAAAGGCAAACAAGATACTGCAAAGAAAGAAGGAGGGTAAAGAAAAAAAGAGGTATGGTCCCCATGAAACTGTATTCTACTCAAATTCACAAGATTGGTTAAGATGGGATTGATGAGATATATTGATTATTTAAAAAAAGATAATTTGAGTAAGAGAATTAAGTTTAGAATTACCCAAGACATGCTATGTTGGACTGTTTCTAAGTTGAAGCAAGCTGTAGGAGGAAATATGGGATGTGACTGCATATTTCTTTTTTTTTTTTTGTTGTTTTTCAAGACAGGGTTTTTCTGTGTAGCTTTGCGCCTTTCTTGGAACTCACGCATATTTCTACAAGTGATATATACTTAATGGAATGAATAAAATACACCCCTAAGATAAACCATTATAAAAGTAAACAAATTCCAAATTTTATAAAACTTGGTTTAATCTTCTTTTGTAAGTTGAAAAAATTCTTTAGAGATTACCATGTTATATAAAAGGTTCTATATGTGCAATACTAATTCATAAAACCAATTATGCTGATATACACCAAGAACCTTTATTCATAATTATACAAGCATACATCCTTTAATGAAATAATACAAACTTTACAAATTATTCCTTTAGCAACTTGTGGTTCAAGACATAATTAGCTCAAAATTTATATCATATGAAGTTCCCTATATATAGAACTTACTATTTCTGATGCAGAGTTCTCCCATCCATAGTACATTAAACCAAACCACTCAATCTTTCTCCTTAGTGTTCCTTGATGCAGGTGTTCATCTATGTGCTCACTGGATGAGCGTCTGTCTGTTGTTTGTTTTATATTTGAACTCTGCAAGTAAAAAAAAAATGCCATCAGTCAGGACAAATGTATTACTTTTTATCTCTCATGTATGACTCTGAAATAAATCAAAATAAGTTTAAGCAAGAATATTTAAAGTAATTTAAGAGAGACAGAACAATCCAGCTGTCAGCCATATTTTACCTTGATTCTTTTCTTCTTGTTACTTTATTTAATAATCTTGTATATGGACAATGTTTTGTCTTTGAAAGAATTAAAATTGATTTTACTCAAAGCAGAAGGATCTGAGAGCTACAACATACTCTATAATTCTCCTTTTCAATTATCTCTTTTACTGAAAAGTAAAAGAAAATTGTAATTATAAATTATCACTAATGTATACAATTATATATAATTTAATTGGTTTATCAGACTAGAATATTTAACTGGTATTACTTGCTGAAGTGGTAATTATTTGTGGATGAAAAATAGCAAAGAATGAAAGAAAATCAATGAAACAGAGCAATCAAATAAAATTAGAAAAAAAATCACAGCCTGTTGTTTTGGAACTGCTTCTTTCAGTTCTGTGGATAATCTTTGCCTGGAGTATAAACACTGAGTAGAAGATCACTGTGTGAAAACCAATTACTCACTATAGGTATGCAATAACAGTAAGTCTCCTAATGAAAAAAGTCTACTCTGTGAATCATACTTATAATCAAATATATATGTATATATGTATATGTATATGTATATGTGTATATATATAATATCATATGTAGTCTGGTAATAAATAAGAAGTTATGTTACAGTTAAATCAGAAAACACTTCAAAAGTGACAATATTTTTCACTAATTCTTGCTAATGTGGTTATAAAATTGGGTACATAATGGTTCTATCATTTGTTCTATCATTTGTGGTTTCATGAAATCCACATACTGAAATCTCAACTTCCTGCTATTATGATATTTGGAAATGGTTGTTGGCAATAACTTAGGGACAGATTAAAAATGAGCATGGGGCTCTCATTCTGGGATCAAGATCTTTAGAAGAACATATACAATCTTTCTGTGTGGACACAGAAAGTGTATCAATAGAAAACAATCATTCTGGGATGATCTTCTTGTGACTAAAGCTATGAGAAAATATGTTTGTATTATTTTAGCCTTCCAAGTGCTCTATTTACAGTGGTTCCTACCTAGTCTTCTAGATATGTTTTACCATGTTCAAGAACACTATTGGGACTGCTAAGGATATGAGAGAGAGGGGGGGGGAGGGGAGGGGGAGGGGGAGGGGAAGGGAGAGGGAGAGGGAGAAGGGGAGAGAGAGCCATCATCTGTGGTGTAGATGGATGAAGGAGAAATATTTCACCAAAAAAATATACTGGTTTTTTTTTTATTGCTATTCCATCATAAAACAATGCAAGAGAAAGTAGAAAATGACCACATGAAAAGTAAAATAAAACCGGGCGGTGGTGGCACACACCTTTAATTCCAGCACTTGGGAGGCAGAGACAGGTAGATCTCTGTGAGTTTGAGGCCAGCCTGGGCTACAGAGTGAGTTCCAGGACAGGCATCAAAACTACACAGAGAAAGCCTGTCTCAACGCCCCCCCCCCCACCTAAAAAAAAGTGATACAATAAAACAAAATAGTCCCTAACATAAGGGTGTTGTTGTTAACCATTTGGAATCAGGAATCATTTATTAATTTGAAAATTTATACACCTTGAAAAGAAGGAAGAATCACTATGCTATAAAAATTCTGTCAAAGGTTCAAGAATTGTAGCTCCATGGGAATGAAAGTCAAGTGGATAAATGAGAAAGGTAAGTGCCTGACATACAAGAACATAGATGCGAGGAAAAACTGAGGATAAGGTAAGGCTAGAAGGGACTTCTGCTTCTGTTCCCACAGGACCAAAAATATTTATTTGAGAAACAATTTCAGTTTGCTGCAGAACTAATACGTCAAAAATATATTCCTATTGAGGCAGAGGTGATCAGTAAATTTGGGAGGTTGAGGGTGAAGTGAAGCAGACAGATGATCTGTCTCCACCATAAATTTAGGATGCATGGAAGAGTCTTCAAAGGAATGATACAGTCACCCTTTCATTTTTGAAGGTGGCCTTATACCGATGAAGCAAAACTCAATAACTGGCTGGATTGGCATAATCTCTCATATACTGGGATTGAGGAAAAATATGTGCTTTTTCCCTCATAAATACTAGTCTATACATGAATTTGGCTAGTTCATCAAAAACTATGAGGTCAACAAAGGAACCTCAAGTCAAGAAGCAAGCAATTGGGAAACATCATACATGAAATAATAATAATAATAATAATAATAATAATAATAATAATAATAATAATAAAGTAATGTGTTTTGCTGGGCAGCGTTGGCACATTACTTTAATCCCAGCACTCAGGAGGCAGAGGAAAGCAGATCTCTGTGAGTTTGAGGCCAGCCTGGTCTACACAATGAGTTCCAGGATCGGCTCCAGAGCTATACAGAGAAACCCTGCCTCAAAAAACCAACCTCTCCAATTGATGATTTTTTTATATTATTATTGTGTTTTATGACCTATTGGGAAAGGTATTAATATTCATGGAAAAGAGAGTATATCATGTTAGGATTTTAGGTAGGAAGAGGACAGGGGTTAGATTAGAAGGGTCAGGTTTGAGAGAAAGATATTTAGGAAAATGCCCTCAATATATGAGCTATATGAATGCCACAAGATGTATGGCCATGGTTTGAAGGAAAAGGCTTGACTTCTTTCAACAAAGTGTAGCACCTACTTTTAAAAGTTTCAAAGTAATGGGCAGCCCTTGAAAAGAGAGGAAGCGGGCTTAATTTGTGACCTGTATCATGACACATATTGAATTGAGACTGTGACAACAGTCACAAAGAAACTAGGCAAGGGGCTAGAGCTGATTAACGTCCACCTGTAGTTAAGCTATTGGTGGCATAGGTGGCAGGGGTTTGGTTGATTTCCACCGTGCTCCCAAATGCAGAGTGCTGAGCTCTGCATACAGCCTTCTTCCTTATACATGGTAAGAATATCTCATCAAAGTAAACATTTGGAATTAAACAAAGGTGACTACACAAGAAAAATAAGGCTAGCAAAGTCAAATAACTGTGCTTCAGCACTACAGTCAGCATTAAATAATGCTCCTTAAATGAAGGATGTGATATTTGAAATATAGAAACTTTTATAAAGGAAGAGGTCTCTATTAATGGTTACGTAAATCTTATTGGCTGTAACTGAGAGCTGGCATGCTAAGAAAAATAATATATAATAATGTATTTGTTTATATTTTATATGAAGTCAAATACATATTCTACAGGAGGCAAAATTTAAAGAAAATTGCAGTATTCTAAGGTATTTATATTATATCTGAAACAGCATGATGCCATATGACATTAGGCTACACTTAAAACAATGAACCACAATCTCAGACTAACCAGCAAGTATTAAGATATGACCAGTAGAAGGAATATGATGGCATCCTATCTAATAGAAAGCATATAAAGAAAATAAAATTTTGAGATAAGTTGAAAAACTATATTTAGCAAGATGATATTTATAATTTTAGTAACATATAAAATAAAAAGGAGCTAAGAACACTGATCCAAAGGGGGATTCAGACAGGCTGAAAATTGTACATTCACTGAGATGTTGCTTGAAAGCCGACATTTAAAAATATATAAGCACACTAGAATCACTAATGCAATAAACATGCAAGTATCATGTTTTAATGTCATGCAATTTGCTTTAGAGAAATAATACAGCTAGATTTATAAGTGATATTACATAAAGTCAAGGCATAAATTCACAAATACACATGTAACTTAAAACGAGGCAGTAAACATATAATGTATAAGGTTATACAATTTAAAAATAGAAAAAAATATATAGATAATTTAAGATTCCTCTATCAGTATTTGACAAAAGTAGGTAGCAACATCTGTAAGAAACCCACACAGCACTGTGAAGCAACTTGACCTTGGTGGCAGCCTCAGACTTCCCCACACAGTAGCATCAGGAAATACATTCCTTAAAGGTGACTTGTAGTATTAACTAAGATAAACTATTCTGGACTTTGAAGCAGAATTTACTACATTTGAAAGATTTTTAACAATTCTTGATAGTTAATAATATGCTAGGGAAGGCAGTTATAAATACAAAGACATTTAGAAAATTTAGAAAAGTTCTCAAAATTCTTAAATTTAAAAGTGAAAAGTTGTTTGGTAAAAATATTAAAATATTTGAAATTTTAAGAACATATAAAGGCAGAGAAAATGACACCCTTAAGTCATCTTGTACCTTTAATTGCATGAAAATAAAAACACATGAAATTTTGTTGAAAGTAGCTAAGGACCACCCCTCAAAATGTCATATTATATTTTTAAATTAGAGAAAACAAGAAATAGACAATTTGACTGCTAAACAAAGAACAGGGCATTATGAGGGAAAAAATGAAAAGAAAAAATTAATTAAACTGGAAAAGAAACACAGAAGAGAAACTCCATGGTAATAAAATGCTTTGAAATACCAATGAAATTGTTGAACATGTAGCTCTGATTATTGTGAACAAAGGCACAATGAGTTATGTATATGAAGGCAAGAGGTATATTACTTTAACTCTACACACACTAAGACCATAATGAGAAAATGTTACAATACCTTAGTTCATAACTTTGACAATTTATGGAGGAAATGAACAAATCACTTGAAAAATGAGTGACCATAAATGTTGTCTCAGGAAGAATAAGATAGCATAAATAATTCCCTACTAACTAAAAAGAACTCCAAACTCAGAAACTCTGTTGTCCTGTCCCAGCATTTCTTTATATTCCTACTCAGAGCTTCCACCCCACCACCTTCAGAAAGTTTAAATCACTTGGATATAAACACCAGTAGCATAATGGTTTCTTCAGTTTTAGTCAATGGATTTGTCATCATATTAGGGACATGGCAGAAAGGGTAGTACCAGGTGCATTTGACTTGTATCTGATATTCCAAATCTTTTACATTTTTATTTTTTAATTATTTCTTCTCATTTGGGGAGTTGTAATATAATTACATCATTTTGTTCATTGCCTTACATACTCCAAACTCTCATTTACCTCTTTGCTTTCTTTCAAACACATGACTTTTTTCACTGTTTTATATATGTGTGTGTGTGTGTGTGTATGTGTGTTTGTGTGCATGTATGTGTGTGTGTGTGTGTGTGTGTATTTATATATAAGTACATAAATATACCCTGCTCTGTCTGCATGGTGTTGCTTGTATGTATGTTTTATGGGATTACCTTTTGATATTGAATAACCAATTAGTGTCTTCTTTCCTGGGAAAGCCTTTTTCTATTCTTATCAGCATTTCTTGGTAGCCTGTGGCTCTTTGTGTTTGGTTGCAGTGTAGATGTAACCGTCTTATTAAATAAGAAACACAGAGCCAATTGCAGAGTTAAAAGCCCAAGAGGTCAGAGCAACAGCTAAAAGCTAAAAACCTTTTCTTACACTACTGTCGTGGCTGTCCTTCCTCTCAGCAAGGAGGCCTACTTCCTGTGTGTCTGTTCTTTTATTGACTTTCTGTTCTGCTTTCTCATTGGTTGTAAACCCAACCACATGACCTCCTCATCACTGCCTGTCTATACAGACCTCCAGGTCATCAATGGTTGGTATTGAGATTAAAGGTGTGTGTCTCCAGGCTGGGTGTATCTTTGAACACACAGAGATCTGCCTGTCATGTGATCGGGGACTAAGGGCGTGTGCTACCACTGCCAGACTTCTGCTATGGCTTGCTATTATCTCTGACCCCCAGGCAACTTTATTTATTAACATACAAATAAAATTACATTTCAGTACAAATAAAATATCACCATATTGCAGCCTCTCACTTTCCCCCCATGGACTTGGCATGTGTACTGTTGTTGTTACTCTCGTGTTTGGGCAATCATTTTGGTGAGACTTCATAGCTGTAACATTTGATATTACTCGGAGATAAAATCTCACTGGAAATTCCCTGATTTCCATCCTCTTACAGTCTTTCCACCCCTCCTTTGCAATGTTCTTTGAATGTTAGATGCTAGAGATTCTTGTAGATGAATCCATTGGGATTAGGCTCCACAACTCTGCATTTTGGTTGGTTGCTGATTTCTGTAATGGTCTTTGTTGCAAAGAGTCTTTTCCGTGGTAGGGGGCAAGGACTACACTTATATGTACATATAAATACAATTGTGTGGAATTTATTTATGGATTATGCTTGTTTAATGAAGGGACTATAGGTTCTTCTCCAAGATCCATGACTTTACTAACCCTGGCATTTGGTTTGGTAGTAATCAGGCATAATTTATCTGTGGTTGAGCTGTTCTTAATTCTACTTAGAGAGCTATTGTCTTTGTTATGGTTTACTTGCTGTGAATAGACACCATGACCACAGCAACTCCTAAAAAGGAAAACATTTAATTGGTGCTAGCTTACAGTTCAGAGGTTTAGACTGTCCATAGTCATCATGGTTGGAAGCATGGAGGCATGCAGACAGACGTGGTGCTTGAGAGGAACCTGGGAGTTCTAAATCTGGATCTGCATGCATCAGAAAAAAAAGCATTACACTGGGCCAGGCCTGGGATTCTAAAACCCCAAAGCACAACTCTAGTGACATATTTCCTATAAGGCCATACCACTTAATGATGCCATGTCTATGAGCCTCTTGGGGCTATGTTCATTCAAGCCACTGAGGGGCATTTACCCACCAACCCCACAGTTCCCCAGAGTTTTCTTGAGTGCAAGCACTAGGAAATATTATATAGCAGGATTCAGAATGTGGAGATAAACAGATAGAAAATACAGGACAACCTCAAGAGGGCCTGGAACCTATTCCAATGAGCCCTGACTCTCTCTGCCCTAAGGTATTTATAGAAATGCCAAGGGGAAGAGCAAAAGACCTTCCCTTCAGCACAGCCAAGTGCAGATCTTCTCAGATACCTGCACTGAGGCTTGTGGTCCAATCATCCTCTCTATGCAGACCTGCTGGGTAAAGCCACAAAGAACCTGAAAACGGGCTCCCACAAGCCACCACAGTTACTGCCAAGATATGAGTCTTACTATTAAACCTTGACAATTATCTTGACATGATGGTTGTTTCTGTGGCTCTCATGCATCATAGATGTATAGCATAGTTGTTTGTTTCCCTTTCTGGCAAGTGTGCATGGTACCTTCTTGTACCTCGAAAGTTGAAACTTTTCCTAAATCCTGTACTACACACTGAGATATACATATAATCCAAACCAAGCACAAGCTTTAGCACAGAAGACATGCAATCTATAGATTTAAGACACATAAATTTCTATATCTTCACGAGTGACTGTTTACAACCATGTCATATATCAAAGCACAAATCTTAGACAAAGCCTTGGAAAAGGCATAATTCATAGATCCTTGGCATTTGATTACATAATAGTACCATACAGAGAGATAGAGACATCAGAAGTATGTGCCCTATACCCTAATATGGTAGGTAAATGTAGACCTTGTCTGTAACATCTCAAAGTTATCATTTGTTCTTTACCTTTGTGATCTGAACATTTTATTTTTCTGAGACTGGATATCTCCACACAACTGAGGTCAGGTTTCAACTTGATCTTATTGCCTCAGTTTCCGTAGTGCTTAGAATATGTGTGTGCTACTATACCTGGCCTAATACAGCCATTTAAGATTATTTTTCTTTTTGAAAAGAACAGAATTTCATAATGGTGAGGTAAAATACAGTAATTTTCTAGTATTTTTCATGGACTGGAACAATGTTATACCAATTACCAGTAGCTACAAAAAGAAAGGGGAAAAGGATTCTAATGATCAGCTTAACTCAATTAGCATCTATTGTTTAGATCTAGGTTCATTGCTGCTTCAAAAGAAGCATTATAAAAAGTCAGTGTTTGCCCTACTCTCTTAGAGACTTGCTCTGCTGCCAAAGTTTGTTAACACATGTGTTAGATAGAAGCAATAATATTATCCCAACAGAAAATGGGTGTTTAAACAATATTATCAGTGCTCCAACCAAATTTTATTCAATAAAAATTCTTTGTTACTTGATGGGATGCTTTACATTTGATCTATTTAAAGTTTATTTTAAAATAAAGTTTGCTGTGTTTCTGGTAGAATCTATATGCTAGGTCACAGATGAATAAGCCAGATTAAAAAAGATCAGCCTTCCCATAAAACATATGGAAAGCAATATATATATATATATATATATATATATATATATATATATATATATATTTGGTTTGGATTCTTCCAATCTGTGAATACCTATAAGGGTACAATGAATGTAGTTCAACACTAGTTCTCCATGAAATTGTAGACTCTGGAATATATTTTCATAATAGTTTCCAAAACTCCAAACTTTTGTCTACTGTCACCACTGAAGATACATGAAGTCTGATGTCAGAAAGAACATATGGAGAGGATGAGAGGTGGCTGTATTTAAAGCAATGGCAGGGTTATTTTTGATTATTGCAAATGTTAGTTTCAATGGTAGGTTGTATTATGGGTCTTCAAAAATATTAAAAAGCAGCATTCTGTTGGTATGAATAAAAATTCATATTTTGGTATATCTGGCTTCCAATATTGTTAACCAAAATTTTTGCAGCAACAAAGATCAATAAATTATTGAAATAATTATAGAATTAGTTCTTAGGGGATAATTGCCACTTAAAACTGTTCAGATATTTTTTCATATGACCTTCAAGATTACATTGCTACAAAACAATAAGAATTCATTCATTTTTCCATGTAATGCATTTTATCTTTGCTTTTAAAATTGTTTTCCTCATTTGATTCTGCTCTCACATTTGTACACAAAGACTTTCATTACACATCTGTATTTACATTAAATGTAGATTGTGTATTTCATCATCTCAGTAAATTGTTCAGAGTGTATTGAAATGAACACTCTCAAAACAATGTTCACTTTATTTAATTTGTTATACAACATTATAACATATAAAAAGATAGGAAGGGTAGCATAGTGAATAATTCTCAACAAAATATCCCCTCTGCTCATGTGTAATTCTTCTTACTTCACCTTCCCACAGTTAACTAATGAACTATTTTAATTATTCTGTGTAATTTTTGATGTTAACATTACATATGCTTTTCAGGATGTTTTACTTGTGTTATCTTGTTTTGTATGTGTGTGTGTTTGTGTGTTTGTCCTTATACAGACTTAGAAGATTGTCCAGAATCAAATTTATGAAACGCTAGTCAGATCTTTAATATAGAGGTTTTATCATTAAATATTCAGGGAAGTAAACATACAAAATATTCAGAAAATTTCCTTGACTGCAATAAATAATGCAGACGCTTTTTCCTGCCAGTCTTTCTTAAGCCATCTTCTAGAAGAAAACCTTATATATGTAACTTGTGTCAGTTATTTTAAGTTATCTAGTGATACCATAATGTTGATGTAACCAACTGTCTTATTAAATAAGAAACACAGAAACAATGTAAAAGAGAGAGCCGAGAAGTCAGAGCTCAGAGCTAAAATCTCACCCTTCCTCCTGCTGTCCCAGCTTCGCGAAAAGAGACCTACTTCTTGTCGGTTCGTTTTTTTATAGTATGTTGTTCTGCCTTCTCATTGGTTGTAAACCCAAACACATGACTGCCTCGTCACTGTCTGAATGTACAGCCCCCTAGGTCTTAAAGGCATATGTCTCCAATGCTGACTGTATCCCTGAACACACAGAGATCTTATGGGATTAAAGGCGTGTGCCACCACCGCCACACTCTTGCTATGGCTCTAATAGCTCTGACTCCCAGACAACTTTATTTATTAACATACAATCAAAATAATAATTCAGTACAATTAGATTACCACCACACCATAAAGCATAGGAGAGGATGTGTCTAAGCAATCCACAAATAATACAACAAATACTTAATGTTAATATTTAATATTGCGGCCGGGCGGTGGTGGCGCACGCCTTTAATCCCAGCACTCGGGAGGCAGAGCCAGGTGGATCATTGTGAGTTCGAGGCCAGCCTGGACTACCAAGTGAGTTCCAGGAAAGGCACAAAGCTACACAGAGAAACCCTGTCTCAAAAAAACAAAAAAAAAAAACAAAAAAAAAAAAAACAAAAAAAAATATTTAATATTGCAATACACAAATATTTAAATGATCTAGTGATACCATAAAGCATAGAGGGAAATTGCCTAAGCAATACACAAATATCACATCATTTTATACCAAAGATGTTCAATTTGATTCTGACCCTTTAGGATACTTATACAATATGAATCCATACTTAAGATTATTATTTATTATATGTTATATATGGTTTACATGTTTTATAATATTGGGGGATCAAATCCAGGACTTCACAAATGGTGGAGAAGTGATCTCCACTGTGGTATATGAATTACAACTCCATTGATTTTTATAAATATACATATATATATATCAACATTAATGTATACATACATATACATATTTGAAAGAAAAGAAAACAATTTTCAATCCACAGCTTCATAGATTTTTATAAAGATTTATATGTCTGATTAGCAACAGCAAGAGATTAAATATTTTTAAATATATTATGCACATACACTAAATATATTACCGCGTGAAAACTCATGTGAAATTTATTTTTTAAATTTTTTAACTCAATAGTTCTAGTTGTATACATGAATTTGAATTTTACCTTTGTGTTCAATGGAAGAGATAACTTAAGAGCCACAAAAAATTCTTTTGTAATCTCAGAGGATAACAAGTTTTATTAAGAAAGACTCCTGGATATTAACACATATATCTTGACAGTTCTAAGTGTAATCTGAAGTATATGTTTCCTACCAGGCAATTTCAAGCCTTTTTTTTTTTTTTATGCTGAACTTAATTTGTGTTTATGTGTGTTTTGATAACATTTGGCCTGATGTGTTCAAATTGTCTTGGTAAAGTTGTATTATTTGCCTAAATCCTTTCTAATGCTTTGTTGTTTACTTATGCATAATGATTATAATTCTCAAATGGATTGAGTAGTTCCTTAATTTCAGGTTTAGGCAGGTGGTGGTGGCACACGCGTTTAATCCCAGTACTCAAGTGGCAGAGACAGGCAGATCTGTGATGTCAAGGCCAGCACAGTCTATAGAGGAAGTTCCAGAACAGCTGGGGTTACACAAGGAAACCCTATCTAGGACAACCACACACACACACACACACACACACACACACACACACACACACACACACACACAAGGAATCCCCTAAATTATGTGTTTTAAATAATATCCTAACCTATCCTAGACTGCCATTATTTATATATGTGGGAATTAAGTAGCAATAGTAAATGTTTAGCACAGAAAAAAAATCTAATTATTTTAGATATCTTTAGATTTTCTATTACCAAGAGCTATAGAATCTATCTTATTAAAATAAATAGCATTTAATTGAAAATACATTATTACTAAAAACTTTCAAAAAATAAAATGGCATTGCTTTATTAAAGAACAATGTAGATTCATCACAGGTTTAAAAGTGTATTTTCGTAGGTGTATGTCTATGGGAGCAGGATTTAAGCCCTTCTGGATCTCACCTTTTGCAAATATTTATCTGGTGGTTCTTTGTATCCTTCATCTTGCTCTTTGTTAAAAACAAAACAAAACAAAACAAAACAAAACAAAACTGATAGCATAAGAAAAATGCTTCCCTGAATTTATTATCATGTCCAACAATAGACTCTGAGTAAGGGGTATTGGGGACACCAAATTTAGCCAGCCTTTTGGAATACTTGTAAAAGCCTGAGAGTTTTGACGAGCATCTGAGTTGGGGAGAACTTACAGAAATGAGTGCTTAATTTGTGGAATTTTGCTGATCATATACTCTGACAAAGCTGAGTTAAGTTTGTGGCAACCAATTCTACTTAATGGAATAGAAATATATAATTGAATTATGAAGACAGTGTATACTTTGCCTAGCTCAGGAATCCCATAAACACTGTCTTTTGGTATGCTCTGATCCTATTGTAATAGGCCATTGGTCTATTATGTAGTCTAATTCACCTGCCTTCTTTTAACTTGATACAGTGAAGCAATGTTAATCAAATACACATCAATTTCCTTGAGAATGATTACTGACATCCCCCCCCAGTAACCTGATACTTGTCTTTTGCACAGCCAGGATGATAGTAAAGTTTAGGAACCTACTTTCAGATTGTGTCTGCTAATAATTTATCAAATGCCACAGTCTAATACTCCCTAGCAATTTCTCCAGGTGTCTGGGGGCCTGTTTGGACATCTATTACAAAGGAGGAAATGCCAGTAACCAGGTGTTCTCCTGTCACAGTGGTTACTGCCGTTCCCCAGGGTCTTGTAGTCCCCATTACACTACAGAGGTTGATCTAAAAAGTAACTCAGAGATAAGGGGCCCTGCCCAATTTCACATCAATTGCCTCACAGTACTGATTACGCGTTAGAGAAGGCCTCAAGAAATTGTCAAAACTGGTAAAGCAAAATTGAAAGAAACAGAGATGATTTAAGGTGCATATATAATTCAAAAATTATAAAAAAGTGATTTAATCATACTTTAACTTTCTTTTCTTCCTGTGGCCCAGGCTCAGAGAGAAACATAATTCTTCTCCCTCAGATACTTTCCCTCACAAAAACAGATACCATTTTTCTTGTTATTATGCCTTAGTTGAAATAATAGCATGAACTAAGTACATTTGTTCAGCATCACACAGGTTGTTAAGCTGTTAATTCAGTGATGCTAAGGTACAACTTTCCCTTAAATCCCTTTTTGAAGTTGGTATTACATTTTGCAAGGTAACCTTTAATTTTAACATTATAAAATAAGGTCAATGCAAGTCATAAGCATAATTCAGTTTTGCATAGAAAAATATTGTTCTACTAAAAATGCTACTTTTACTATTGCCAGTAATTAACCCGAGCTGCTTACTCTTTCAGCACCTTTGTGCAGAAACGATAGAAAGCAGCTCCACATAGTCTTGGCACACTACATCATTTAACTGCAAAACCTCATACAAAAAGAGGCTCAATAAAAAGCAATTTATTAAGCCGATGCGTTCTATGCTTATATGGGTGCAGCGTAAAACAGGCATGCAGCGTTGAACCTTGAATGTTCCCTGCTTAGAAACATTCTTCGGGCTCAGATATATGTCACTAAACAGAAGAACGTTGTGAATGTGTGAGAAAGGAAAAACTAGAGGGATTAAGGTTCCTGAAGAATAGCAGCTTCACAAAGGCCAGCCAGATCTGTAATTAACAACGTATCCGCTGCTCCTCTATTGTTGGCATATCTTGGTTGACGACTTAAGGACAAAAGCTCCTTTCATTTTCCTGCTTCTGTTTCAGTGAACAATGGAGGGTAGTACTGACTCATGCCCCGAGTGTTTTCAGTGGGTGAAGATGAAATGAATTCAGCAGAGTAAAGGAAGAAGGAAAAGGAAAGCAAAGTAGAATGTGAAAATATTTTACCGTGATTAAATATTCTCAAGTATTTACTTACCATGATCACTCGAGTTTCTTCATTAATTTTAAGGAAATTATTTGTTTCTGAAGTGAAGATATACTGGTGGACCCTCATAAAGCAAAGTATATGTAAGGAAAAGATATGAAAGAGGAAATGGAATCCAGTGTGGGTCATCTATGTAAATAGTCAATGAAGAAATAATATGATATGACTTGGCTGTCACAATGAGTATAAATATCTGGTGACTTTAATATAATTTTGTACTGTTGGCAAAAAGTTCTGAGATAGGCATTTTACCTCACAGAAACTTTTGTATAAAATTGTTATTATATAAGTATTTCAAGTGAATTGTCTGGTTGGAGACCTCTATCAGTCCATTTTCTACAATAGCAAGGTAATCGGGGCTAAATACAAACAAAACAATAGTGCTTCTTTAGACTGGTGGACGAGTGTTGTAGCAGCAAAGGATGGTTTCATCATAGCCAAGGGGCAGGGCTAGGGTGTAGGGCAACGACAAACAAAAATGCCTCAAAGATTTCCTAACATTTTCAGTATTATTAAATTTCATATTCGTTTTTTAAATATTTGTTCTTTCAGAGTTGTGAATTTCTTACACTGCGTTTTGACCATATGCACCCCCTACCTAACTATTCTTAACTGACCTTTCTTCTTTACGTATGGCAAACGATCTGGTATTCTTATGGTGTGTGACGTTCAATTGGAACATGACTCATTAGAGGCTAGAGACTTAGAACTTTCTCTCTCCCACGATCTGCGGAGCTGCGGGTGAGACTTCATGTCCAGCTCCCCTTTCCATGCTGAGTTTGGTCTGTTCGCGTTTTTCACAGATTTTTGTGCATGCTGTCCCAACCCTTGTGACTTCACACCCGCAACTTCTCTTTTGTGTCCAGAAGATTATCGCACGGCCCCTGGCTCGTAAACTTTTCCTTCAGCGATCCCAGAGGCTTTAGGGTGCACACACTCCATGAGTTTCTTTTATGGCTGACCTCTTATTAGTCTTTTATTCTCTTCACTTTTGCCAGTTCTGGGTCTCTGTAGTAATCACTGTCTTGCTGCAAATAGAACTTCTCAATTGAAGGTTGTGATATACGCTGATCTGTGGCTATAATGATTGACATCATTGTTGCACACACTTCATTGCCTAGAATTCTGACAAAGTTGGTTCTTGTAGTTTTTTTGCTTGATTTTCAGTGATTATTATTATTTTTTTTTTTGAGACTCAGATCCCATGAGCTGTCAGGTTTCCCACTTTCAGCGCCAACATCTACTCTACTGCTTTTGAGCCATAGAACTTCTTTCCAGCTACCATTTCTGTTCATATTCCATCAACTGGACCCTGTGATCTGCTGTTCTTGGAGGTCTAGCAGATGATCATGGAAAGTCCTGGCTGGTTAGATATTTATTTCAACTTCCCTCTGATAAAGAGAGCCAATATCTTGCAATAACCTTTCAGTTATTTATAAATAAGATCCTTGTGATTTTTTGCATTCACAATCTATATTTCTTTTGAAATATTGAAATTTTTAATTTTTTTATTCATTTTACATACCTACCACAGATTCCCCTCTTATCCTTCCTCCCGCTCCCCACTCCCCCTGCCTTCCCACCCCTGACCCACCCCTCATCTCCTCCTCCAAAAGGGTAAGTTTTCCCATAGGGGGACAGCTAAGCCTGGTATATTCAGGTAAGGCAGGTCCAAGCCCCTTCCTGCTGCATCAAGGGTGGGCCAAGTGTCCGACCACAGGTAGTGGGATCCAGAAAGCCAGCTCATGCACTGGGGATAGATCCTGATCACACTGCCAGGGGCCTCTTAACCAGACCCAGCTACACATCTCTCTCCAGTATGCATAGGATCTAGTCTGGTCCCATGCAGGTTCCACAGTTGTCGGTCTAATGATCGTGAATTCCCATCAGCTTGGTTCAGTTGTCTCTGTAGATTTCCCTATCATGAGCTTGACCCTCCTGGTTCATATAATCCCTCTTCCCTCTCTTCAACTGGACTCCCAGAGCTCCACATGGTGCTTGGCTATAGATCTCTGCATCTGCTTCCATCAGATACTGGATGAAGTCTCTATGACAACAGTTAGAGTATTCACCAATCTGTTTACCAGGGTAGACTGGTTCATGTACCCTCACCACTATTGCTAGTAGTCTAATCTGGGGTCGTCCTTGTTGATTCCTGGGAATTTCCCTAGCACCAGGTTTCTCCTAGCAAAGGATGAGCAGACTACAACCCACAGCTCCAGAGAGGCTAGGAAAGAAGCAGGAACCTAAAAGCCATATACAGATCACCCTAGGAAGGGAAAACAGAGGAGATCTTCATGAATAAATGGGGCGGGGGATAGAGGGGAGGAGATGGGGGATGAGAACATGAGGGAATGGGATGGTAGAGCTAGAGGAGGGACAGAGTGGGAGAGCAATGAAAGAATTATCTTGGTAGAGGGTAACATTATGGGATAAAGGAAATATTAGAACTTTTATCTTGTCATTTGTCCTCATAAGAGAATTGTACAGTAAGTTTACTTTTGAAAATTTTCATTTAGAAAACTTAATAAAATACATTGATTTAATGAAATGAAATCACAGAAACTTAACATTTTTATAATGCTCCTGAATAGTCAGAATCTTGTGCCGTTCATGGTAAATTTTGAAATTCTGTGTTTTATGCTATCATGCTGATATACCAGGAAGAACACAGGGTATCCCAAAGAGTGAGTGATGGGGTGTTGTTCTGTGATTTAGTTGTATAAAGGGAAGAGTTTAATTTTTGAAAATATTTCCTGAATCAACAAGAGATGAAATGACAAGGAGAAAAACCCCCTCGTGTAAATGTACAGTAGAATTAAAGCAAATCCAATGAAATTCCATGATAATTTCTATTAAATTAGAATAGTATAATATTCAAGTCATATGTAGGAACTCAAATATCAAAATTTAAAAGTAATTTTATATGTTTAATAAAATGAAAATATTCTGTATTTTATAAGTAAGCAAATAAATAAATTCATATAGAATTTGAGTCAAAGAAGAACAAGTATTGTTTTATTTTATCTTGTTCTAATGGCTTTTATATATATTTTTATACTCCTAGACAATTAAAAGGGAACATTGATGTTAATTGCAATCTATATTATTTTATCCAGTAGACTTCCTTTCTTTCAATCAGATACCTTAATAAAATTGAGAATACACAGAAGTAAATGGAAAGAATATGTGTGACATGATGGAGATTTAGAAATGGAACCTGAAGGCTAGGAACAGGTTTTTTAATACCCATATCCCCAGTTTCAGCCTAGCAAAGCTAAGATATAGGCATTTGATATTCCTGGGACACATGAAATAAATAGCAAAGGGATACATTAACAGAATACATATTATCTGTGCATTACTAAATTTAATTATTTCAAGAGTTCATTATTATTAACATAGATCAAATTAGAGGATCTTTGAAGCATTGTTGCTACAAACTCAAGATATCACGCCTTTTTTTGTTTGTTATTTGAGAGCTAATGTCTTGGAAACATGATATACAGTGCAGAGATAAAAGACAGTGTGACATTTCTAGTAAGATGTCAGTGTGAACATTGCCTTCAAAAGGATTCAATAAAGTTCTCCTATTGTGATCACCTGTAAGACAGATCTCTCGGCAGGCAGGCATGCATGTGTAGGATTAACTCAGTTGTATAATTGAGGTGGAAAGATCCACCCACTGTGGGTGACACCATTCTATATGCTGAATCCTTGACTAAGTGAAGAATGAAAGTTGAGTATCAGCTTGCACTCATCATTCTTTTTTTCATGACTGAGAATACAGGTGAATAGCTCCCTCACGCATGAACTGCCATGACTTCCTGTTGTGATCCAATATAAACCATTTCTCTATAACTTGACTTTTTCAGTGTGTCTTATCAAATCAACAAAAAAAGTAATTACCCTAACTGTGGCCCTGATCAGCTATCCCTGATTAGGATATTTGTATAAAAGAACAAAATTGTTAGGTGTCCAGTCATGTGATTTGTCACAAGCATCTACACATAGTATCAGTATTGCTATAAGACCCTCCATAGAGCTATCAGATATATGTGTTAGTCCCTGAAACCCCTGCTGGAACTTTGGTGACCTTAGTTACAGAATCAAAGGAGGCTTTCTGACAATCAATAATAGCGGTAAATGACAATTAAGTTAACTTTTAGTAGATACTACAAATGGATTTTGAGCTTTAAAAGGAAATTTATAACAATTATTTAAACTAGTTACCTGATGACTAATTCTATAAGACAGATAAGTAATAAGAAATAAAACAAAATCATTTTATTTCCATTTACATATGCCTTTTAAAATTTATCAAACAGTAATGGTTAAAAGCTATTTTTTTGAAAGTTATTTATATCACATAGCCAAATGTAATAGTCTCTTTTGCTCTCATATAGACAAATGTATATATATATATATATATATATATATATTGCATTAAAGACATACCCACCAACAAAATATTTAATGAATCCTTATATTGATTTACAGCTGATATAATATATGAAACATTTCCATTAATATTTATTAGAAGGTTATTTTTACGATTGCCATATTGAAAGACTATTTAATTACTTCTCATGGGACATATCATTTCAATTGCTTGATCTTTGAGTCAAGAAAAAGAGAATTTAAAAATCAATAGACATATGATTTAGTTTTTCTACCCACCTAAAATAGCAGAAATAATTATGTTTAAGTAGAGACTTATAAATTACATTTTGCAAAGTTCAGTGGACATGAACTATATATCTCCAACTTACTTGGCCCTATATACTTCTAAGTCTGGTTAAAATTTCATTAATAAAATCGAATGAATGATTGCTGAGATCATGCAAAAAGACAAAAATCATTCTTTTACTTTCTATGCAGGAAACAATTTTCCAGCAGCTTTTTCAAGTGATTTTGCATCTATAAGTATTTATTGTATTTTGCTGACCTTTGTAAGCTAAAAGATACCACAGTCAACATTCTTGAACACTTTATTTCTTCCAAAGAAACACTTATTTCTTCTTACTGAAGATGTAGATGAACTCTTTTAAACACTTCTGCTGTTTTTCCTTACTAGATAACAAAGGCCTAGATCTCTGCAATAATTCACCAAACCACTAACATCTTGAATCTGTAGCGGGAAGGAAAAAGTTACTTTTAGAAACAGAGATGAAAAGGACCCTTTAACACTAAATGATGTAGAAAGGAGGAAAGGGATAAAAGCTAAGGTTCCTCACTAATTCATGTTAACTCCCTCCATAAGCACACACTTCCACACAGATTTCCCAAGCCCAACTGGCTAGATTTGAAATCTCCCAGATGCTAGAGAATATTACCAATGCCAAAGTGCAGTTACTTATCAATGTTTATTGTCTATCATTCACATTGCTAGTTAAACTGCTAATATTCTGGGTTAAAAATTAAGAAAAAGATTGCCATGAGAGTATCAGGCTATGTGGTTCAGAGTATAGCACAAAATCTCACCCACAAGAGGAAACATAAATTCCTGGGGCAACCACAATATTGCAGGACTTCAATACTTTAAAATGACCTCAATAACTAATACATCATTAGGTGTCTGAATAATTAAATAGAAAGAAGGGAGAATATAAATCTAATGAATGTCATCTATAATAGAGATAACACACATATTTGATTCGATTCATTTCGGTGTCAAACATAAATATAAAAATACCCTACACACACACACACACACACACACACACACACACACACACACACACACACACACACTACAAGGTAATTGTTCTCCAGCCCAGAATTGGAAGCTATCAGAAAGGTTAAATGAAATATATTTGATTGATTTCTTTATGAGAAGCACACAAAGATGCATCTTTTTATCCTTTTGTATTAACATTTCAGAACTTTATCCAAAAAGGAGAGGGAGGAATGATGGTTTACCTTGATTGCCAGCTTGTGTGGATTGAGAATTTCCAATGTACCTGTGAAGCCATTTCCAGGATAGAATGTTTATGGTGCAGATGCCAACCTGGACCTTTGGTGGTGCTGCAACAGGTTGGAAACTTTCTTGGAATACACAGGAGAGGACAGACAGATGCCACTAGCACAGGGTTCTTTTTCCTTCTTTTCCTGGAGATGAAAGTCTGTGGTCCTATTCCTCTGTCATGATGGGATGAAATGCCTGACAGGATGAGCCAGAATAATTTCCTTTTTAAGTTGTTTAGGTCAAGCATGTTCTCACATCAGTGAAAAATTTGACTACTTTAGGATATTGCACTTTGCTGTTAGTAAATTAGCGTGTGAATCAGAATCATTTGGAACATGTTAATTGAGGGAATGTGGAAGCATTTGGAGAAATAAGCAAGAGAAGGAGTAGAAAGGAGCAATCAAAGCTAATCATACTATTTTGATGGAGGGTCAGGGAATAAAAATAATGTTAGGATTGTGGAAAATAACGACTCCTCGTGAGAATTCAGATGGAAACAAGGGCTCAGCTGGGAATTGTGCTAGCAGTCATTCATGGTGCATTGTGGAAAATGACCTGCCTTTATTTTTCCTGTCTGTGCTCTGAGCATTTATGTGCCACTGAGTTCAAAGGTGATTGGCTAATACAGTTGGCAGAGGATTTATAGGAAGACTATTATTCAGATTGTCATGTGGTTATCAACAGCTGTTTCTTTTTTTTTTCTTTTTGCCTCATTAACAGTAAGTTTCAAGAACAAAACTGAGATCAAACATACCTGAAAAAAAAATAGATTTTTCAGTAAAGAAACACATTTAAATTTGGGACCAATGTGTTGAGCCTGGACTTCTGAACAGCTGAGAGCTGTGAAGACTGGAGAATCTCAAACAGAGATTGAATGTGCTTCACATTATGCAATAGACATGAACTCAGAGTGGAGTCCAGATCTGAGCTCCTGTGGTTTAAGAAGATATACGGTGTCAAGTTAAAATTGCTGTGGTGAATATTGCTTTCCAAACTGAGTGGATTTGAAGTCTTCTAGAAGATTTGCAAAACCTTTCTGTTTTTTGTGAGATTATATTCTGAGAGCATTAACTAAGGTGGGTAGATCTGTGATAAGTGGTAGCCCCATTTCATATGTTAGGGGGCTAATGGAAGCAAGTGGAAATAATTCAAAAATTTCTAATTTATTAGTGGGTATACAGAAAAAATATTTATCATGCAGTTAGAAATCATGCTGTTTTGGTAAGGAGATTGTTGTAGATTCACCTGCAAGATTCATGACTTCATTAGCACTGGACATTTGTCTAGGTTTGCAGTACAAGTATAGTTTTCCTCTTGCTAAGATAGTCCTAAGTACGATTAGAGAGATGATGGTTTTACTATTACAGAAAAGAGAAAACTACAACTGACCAAAATGCAAAGAACAAGAGATGATTAGGTGCCCTGTCCCAAAAAATACACTTGCAACATAGTTTCACCGCAATTTCTTCCTGGAGAGAGGATGAGAAGTCTGTATGAGCCAGGGGAAGAGGAAATTTATTGTGAGATTTTGTCTCTTAGAAATGTCAGAGAAGGTATACCCACGAAATTTCACAAATGTGGTTTCCTGGTACAATGAACATGCTACAATGAAAATAGAAAAGCTGTAAGGACCTCAACCGCAGACAAAGAACTAGAGGCAACTGGCAAATTGTAATATATATATATATGAGTGTGTGTGTGTGTAACAAGCAGATCATATTTATGTACATATTCTAAAAACAATTACAGATAAAATGTCATGAGTTTGAGTGAGAGCAAGAGAATGTATGAGAGGGGTTGAACGGATAAAAAAGGAAGGGGAGAAATGTTGCAATTGTATTATAATCTCTCTCTCTCTCCTCTCTCTCTCTCTCTCTCTCTCTCTCTCTCTATATATATATATATATATATATATATATATATATATATATATATGCTAACATAGGCTTTCTTGCTCTTTGTTTCCTAGGCTCCACAAAAATGAGCCACTCAGCACCTCAGAATTCTCCCTGAAACCTGGTAATAAACTAAAGTTCTTACTTCAGTGTCAGTGTTGAAAAAATTAGTTATTCCCTCACAATGATAATAGTTTAAAAAACATATCCAGACATATATAAGTTAGGTTCTCCAAGTAACATACCTCTCTTCAAATATGATATAGCTTTCAATTAAATCGCAGCTTGTAGCTCTTTTCCATGGTACATACTTAAAGACACTGAAGGATGAAGCAGGAGGTTTGCATTGAGATCCAGCTATTGTGGGCTCCATAGTGAGTACCAGGTTAGTAATGACTATACTGCAAGGCTTAGCATGAAAATTTAAAATAAAAATAAAAACAAATGCATATAAACAACCCCAGCTTTATTTAAATGCTCCAGCAAAAGAATTTACATAACCTCATTATTCTTTACAGCAAAAAAATTAAAAGTTGAGCCATTCAGCACTTTTTGTGAAGAGACACTATGGAACATTTCAAATGCTTTCTTTTCACCTATTAATCATCTCAGTTTATGTGGGTTCATCAAGTTATATGTACATTATTTATACCCGATGAATCTTAATTATAGTTTCATTAATAATTTAATTACAAGAAAGTAATCAGGCATAAGGGATAGAATTATAAGCTCTCTTTCAAGATGACTCTTCCTAAAGGAGACACTTCTTATAAAAGGAGAATGTTAACAGTGCCATTATACAGCAGAGGCATATCTGCTTTGATGCACACTGGAGAAATGCTGATAGGAGGGAGGATTGTCTCTGAAGTTCATTAGTGGAAATGATGAATGATGGCATCCTGACCAGGAAGGACTAACTTGCTTAGGAGAGGAATACACATGGTTCTAGCATTGTTAATATGAAAAAGGGACAGCTCAAGTACATATAACATGTCATTATGCACATTATTTCAATGTAGGTGGACAACAGAGATGACTGACACACGGCTAACCTATGATTTAGATACTCAATGTTGATTCTACAACAAAGTGGTTAAATGCTAAATAATATAAGGGAGGCGCTAAACAGGAATAAACAACATTAGCTATTATTCTTTAGATAGTCTTACTTTTGTTTATCAGGAAAAATTTTAAATGTGTGTGTTTCTATCTAATAAAGCACATGTTTATGAGCAACAATGTAAATCTGCTGAAATATGTTTAAAAGAATCATTGACACTTGTTCATAAACAATAATTTTGTTGAATCATGGAAAATTGATGATATTCAGAACTTTCTATGTGTTTATTTAATGAATATAAAATTCATTTTCTACTTGTAATGGGTAGCATTTTCAACCAAGAAGAGTTCTATTTAAGAAGAAAATTTTAAATTATTTGTTTAGACAATATACTTCTCCCCAAATTTTTTAAAAAAGTGAAATTCTGGCCAATAAGAATTTGATTGTAACTAGATATACAGCATTCAATATTGAAACATTGTAATTTTTTCATAGACTCTGCTTTCTGATTTCTAAAGAAAAGACTATCAACATTTTCAATTATCAAATAAATATCACATTTTGAATTTGCACAAATATATTTATTGAGTTACATAAAAGGCTGCATACTACTAGATTTGCAGGAATCATTTAATTTAAAGCTCATTAATTCTGTGGGAATAAATTTCTCACATTTGAAAGACAAAGGATGACATTCAAATAGTTGGTGTTGGCTGTCTAAGGGTGAGGTTATGCTTGGATGGTGGAACTATATATTATTATCTTGATTCTATGATACAATTGAATAAATGGCCATCATGAACATAGGAATAAAATTAATATTATATATGATGAGGGTAAATGATGTTCTAGCAACTATAATAAACTGGGTAATTGTTCTTGAGATGAGCTTAAGAGATGTAATTTTAAGATTAAAAACACTTTACATTCTTAGTTGAAGTATGAGAGAAGACACTGTTATCTGTAAGATGAACTGAGAATTTTTTCACTTAAATTTTATGTGTTGAAAACTACCGGGTATGTTATAACTAGATTCTCAAACATTACCTCTTGGAAAATAATAATTGAAATCATAGATCTAGACTTATGAACCCTTTAATAAAGAGGAGGGAAAGAGATCTTCAGTCAAAATCATCAGAGATCCACAGTGACTTACTTAAATGATAACAAAACCTGGGCTGAGGATGTATTATGAAGTTATAATTTTAGAGCAAATAAAAGAAAGTGAACCACAGTTAATCTTCCTATAGGATCATGGAATTCCGTAACTGTCAACCTTAGTGTTTAGACTCAGCTAATTCAGAGATATATTTGATAGCCTTTTAAGAGCGATGAAAAAATTATAATGATATTTGTGGTAATTTCAAGCTCAGATGATTTTCTATGTAATTTGAAATAGATTTTATATCACATAGTTGGCACACCAAAATATTCATATGTAGCACATGTTAGTTTTATCAGACTGAGTTTCAGTCACACTTAGACATAAAACAGTTTGTAAATGGGACTTTTATTTATTTCTATATGAAAGTAATACATGTAAAGAACAAAACAAAATTATTTGGAGTGTTAGCATTTAAATATGATTTTATTAATAGAATAATTCAATGTCTCAACTTCACTTATGTGTGGTTAGTTATTAATATGGACAGAAAATACCAAAAATTCCACCGAAGAATGCTCTTTCCCATAAGAAATGAAACTAAATGTGTACACTGTGTAAATATAACATATTTTATTGATAATGCTGGGTGTTAAGAGACTTTCCTGTATATTCCGCTGCACAGTAACACTATGTTCTTTGTTATGACATCTGAGAACCTGAATTGAACAACAAAATATTCTGCAGTATTTAAGAGCAATTCCTCCGTCAAGATCTGAAGTTGTTTTCCTTGCAACGCAAACAGTGTCACGTTTGCGTCTCTCCCATAGACAAGAAATAAAACATTCTTCTACTAAAGTCTATGAACAAATTATTCCTATCCAATTTAAAAGTAACTAGTCAAACAACTGAGAAAAATGAACTCTCATTGACCACCCATAAATGGGAAATCAATTTTACTCACCACCTTTAAATCTTGGGGACATCACTGAAGAAGAAGAGAAGAGTAAAGAGCTGGAGGAAGTGGAGGAGCTGCATGCAGTGTTTACTCCTGGGACTACACAGATTTGCCTTCTTAAATTCCCAACAGGAATTACTTGCACCAATCTGCATATGGCTGGAATTTTCAACACCTGTCAAATCAGTCCTCAGGGAGGAGCTGAGCCTCACTAGACTCCCTCTTTCCTACATAATGTGGCTTTGGTGAGGCGCCCTTGCTCCTTAAACAAATCCTCACTCATGTGTCCAAAAAAATATCCATAATGAAACTCAGTTGGTTTTCCACATATATAAAATACACACTAGCAGACGAGAGGATAATCAGTAGGAATGCAGAGGGAACTGAAAGGGTGCTATGAATAAGACTGAAATGCATTATGTACATATTCAAAACTGGCATAATTAAGTTCCACATAAGTTCCATTGCTTATATACTAATAAAAAAATAAACTAATTAAACATTAACTTCAGTTAGGCCAAAGTAAAATTGATTTCAGATATGTATTTTAAATAGAATAAAATACATATGTGTGCATAGTCATAGGTACATAAAGATGCAAATTATGTGTATACAAATATATCTACCTATTTGCATGTATACACATACATGATAATATAATGTACATGTAAACATATTATATGTATATATATATATATATATATATATATATATCATAATTAAGCACTGGTAACATGTATGCTTGTGGAACACGCCAACCCTTACATGCTTTTAAATAATAAAGAAATGTGAAGTTTAAGAAAACAATCACTTAAAGAGTTCATCATTTATATGAGTCCTTTGATTAAGAGTATGTTAACACAAAATTAAAGTCTGTATTTCAATGACAGTTTTAGAGATATTTATTATCATTCTTATGTTTGTCACTTCATCAGTAGTCCTGTTTCTTAATCATTGTGTAAGACCCACATAATCTGTGTTTGTATAAATTCATCATTTGAAGTGGCCTTTGAATCAGGCCCTTGATTTGACACACTTCTTTCAGGAATCTCCTGGAATCAATCACAAAACTCTTCCTAAATTATTATTTTAGTTTCTAATTTTATTTTGCCTGCATATCTTCTGTTGCATATATTATTGAATCTTCTAATTACCTTGGCACTTCCCTGAAGAAAATACTTGTTTATATTTAAAAGGTCACATTTCTCAGAATGTTATCTTATTTATTGGTCTTTTCCTAGGGTAAATTCAATTACCACTGGGAAGTATTTCTACTACTTTAAAACTCTCTACAGAAAGGCCCTTTAAGGTATCACAACTACTAATTCATAAATGTATTTTTATTATCATTCTATTTCATCTCTCTTGTTTCTTGAGTTAAAAAGTGCATAAATTATTGAATAATTTATGCATGCATGTGAATCCAAGTTTTGTTTGTATCTTTTCTCTATACAGAAATGAGATCAATTTACAACACTGATAATTAACCAAAATTAATTGACAAAAATGCACTCCAAATACTTAACACAAGTCAGGTACAGTACTTACACATTATAGTCTGGATTTCTCTTAACAATATATCTCTATTTTTATTTATTTTGAAAATTTCATGCATTTATCTATACAATGAAATACAATCATTTACACTGCCATAGAGATCCAGCTCCCCCATCTCTTCCATAACACAATTTCATCCTAACTTTATATGTTTTTTACATCCAGTTAATGTTGCCCATACCTGCGTGGGTGAGGGACCAACCCCTGCATGGGGAACTTAACATTGGCCCCATATTCAAACAAATAATACCCCACACACCAACAACTATCAAATTCCAATAATCACTAGGCAGTTGGGCCTGAATATCATCTACCAAATTATCTGAGACTACATAGTACTTTTCCCTGTGCACAATGATTATAAGCATGCAATTTTTTGTACAATAAATATTAATTTAATTGTATACTCTAATTTTCCTTTAAACATCAATGAAACTGACCAATCTTGAAATAAACCTAGAAACTCTATTTTTAAATTGTTCTATGATTTATTTATCATGGAATAGTCATTGAGGCCCACATTTTAGAAATCACCTCATAATAATGATTTTTTTCTCTTTTTGTATTTAAACATTTTATACAGTGTATTTTCATCATAATTTCTCTTACCTCTGCTCTTCCCAACTCCTTCTAACCTTATCCATCTAACTTTGTATGCTTTTCCAACCCGTTTCACACACAAACACACACACACACACACACACACACACACACACACACACACACACACAGAGACAGAGAGACAGAGAGACAGAGAGGCAGAGACATACATACATGAAAATCAAAGCAAACCAACAAAAATCATGAAGTAAAAACTGGCAAATAAAACAAAATGAAAGGAAAAAAACAACAAAACAACAACAACAGCAGCACACAACCAAAATAACTGTAGTTCCTTTTTTTGTGATGACCATTTACACATGTGCACAGGGCCTGTCCTGGAGTGTGGTTGATCTACCTAGTGAAACCTCTCTGGAGAAAACTGGTTTTCCATTTTCTTGCTGACATTGATTGCACATAGCTTTCTGGTCAAAGGTGGGAGCCTGTGACTGCTTCCCTTTCTGTGCTGAGACCCTGTCTGGCTTGGACTCGCGCACAATAGTTTCAAGATTTGTGACACACACATAAAATATGAATCTTGAACTCTTTTAGCAAATTTTGAGAAAATTTCTTCTCTTATTTTGTGTTGAATTTTGTACATTTAATCACGCACACTGGGAAAATTATCTAATGACTCCTAATTATGGCAAAACCAAAATAATTGATTTGCTAGAATTAAATTAAATTATTTTTTAAATATTCACCCAGTTTTGGAAAATAGGTTTACATTTGAAATAGTAATAGATTTAGTTTTCTAATATTATTGTCTTAAAATAAAATAATTATTATAATTATAAAATATTCAGTTTTAATTTGTGTACAGATAATATTGTGATAAAATGTTTTGGTCCCCCAATTCTTTAGAGAAATTCTTCTTTTTACAATACCCAACTATACCCTATTCTATTTACAAAATACTTTATGTGGGACAAAACAATGTCAAATGTTTCTTATTAGTCACTTCTTAACTTCAGGTTTCATGAGAGAAGACAGAAGTTTATATGTACTTGCCAGTTCACATTCATAAGGTTGGGAGTCATCAAGCATATAACTAGAGGGAAAAATGTAAATGTCTGTTTTATTGTACAATAAAATTTTCCAAAATACTTAATCACGAGCCTTTACATTTTTTTTTTTTTACTTACAAACTGTATGGCCATGGCAGGCTTCTTGCTAACTGTTCTTACAGATTAAATTAATAAATTTTCATAAATCTATACCTTGCCACGTGGCTTGTGGCTTACCAGTGTCTTCACATGGTGCTTGTCATGGTGGCGACTGGCAGTTTCTCTGACTCAGCCTTCTACTTCCCAGAATTCTTCCAAGCCTTTACAATTAGTACCTACTACAACATGCATCATCTCATTCATAGTAGGTTTGGAAGACACTAGTGTTTTAAGGATAATTCGAAAACAACGTATTTTAGTATAGAAAGAATAATTTATGATTGGAATATAACTTTTTTCCTTGAAGTGAAATAGGTGTGGGGAAAGACTAGAGACTTTTGCTAGAGTTAGTAGGATATAAAATGTAAAGTCAAACTTATAATTATAGAACAATTCTGCATGAGTGTCTTTGAATATTTTCCAGTTGATCTTGCAATGGCATTATGGTGGCAATGAGCATTGTCACAAGTAGTTATTTTGAGCTTATTCATTACCAGTGGAACAATCTTGTTCTCTTATGTGTCCCTTGGCCCTTCCTGCTTAGCTGAGCCCTACAGATGAGAAGGTGTGGTAGGATGCTTCTAGAGTATTAATTAATTCATTTGAAAATTATTTCTATTATCATTTTACTTTTCATAGGCACTAAACTTATTGAACCAAAACCATTAAAAAGTTAAATTTTGGTTCTAAATTATGCCCTGCAAATCACAGAGCAATAAAATAAACTTAAAGCTGTGAAAATATTAAGGGAATCATCCAAATTTGATGCTCCTAAGAATAATCCAGATATATAAAGAAGAGAATTGGGGTAAACAATCAATGTGAGTGAAAACTGTGATCACAGTAAAATAAACAACAATGTTGCAAAGACTAAAGATACCTTGATGACCCTATCTTCTTTTTAGAAGCTAGTTCTTTGGGGGATTTTTACTCCATCATAGCAGCTTTATCATCTGTTTCTGTGGTAATTATTTTGATGATATGTAAGTACATCTGAGGAAAGGTATAATTTCCCCCCACAAGGTTTAATTCTTATTTTAGCCCAATAAAATATTTGACTAGTAAATATTGTTTTAAATTTTATAAAACTTCACTTTTTCTAAGATAGTGGTTTTCAGCCTTCCTAATGCAGTTGTCTTTTAATATAGTTCCTCATGTTGTGGTGACTACCAATCATAACATTATTTTTGTTGCTACTTTTTAACTGTAATTTTGCTACTGCTATCAATCATAATGTAAATATCTAGGTTTTCTACTGGTCTTAGGTGACTCCTGTGAAAGGGTCGTTTGACCCGCCCCCCGCCCCAAGGTGTTGCAACCCTCAAATTAAGAACTTCGGCAATAGGATTTTATAGCACAATTTACATATAATATCTGAGTAAGGAAATGTAGAGATGAGACTGACTTCCAATATTTCAGTGCAAAGTGTCCTGAGTTCAGTGCTTATTATCATATTCCACAGAGAGAAATTCGTCATGGTAAAGCTAATAACATTAATTTTCAACTAATCTTTTGTCACAGTTTAACATGGACATGGAAATACAGTATCACACTCATTCTATCCGAGTTTCCCTTTTACTTGTTCTGAAAGTAATGCTTTTTGCAGCTCCCCATTCTTCATGGGTCTCCAACTTGTGTCTCCAAACACAGAATTGTGCAAATGAAACAGTTTACATTTTAGACTTATACATAAGTAGAAATAATGCTAGTTCTTGATATGCTACCTTTTCTTAGAACACTCTGTTACTTTCACTGAGCTTCAGTTTTTATGCTTCAATATTCTGAAATGAAGTATATAAAATGCCTAGCATGAAGAAAGTGTCTCACAGAGTTACACAGATTACTGTGAAGATTTTATTGCTCATTTCTTGTAAAGCTATGCATAGTAGTTATCCATGGTTAGATAATATAATGTATATTTTTAAAGCAATTGGATACAATCTAGATACATTCCCTACACCTTCATTTAGACACTTGTCTCTTCTGTCTCCATTATTAACAACCTTAGGTATTAATAAACAAGTTACATACTGTCACATGAAAATAAAATCTCTTTACAATCAACATTTCATTTCACATATGAACAAGTGGAAAATGAAAATGAGAGTACTCTTGGCATACCCAACTAAAATAAAATCATGTGATCATAAAGAAAAATGATAAGCTGGAAAATGATTGTTCCAGAATCTGACCTATTAAGCGTTTCAAGAAAATGTCCTTGTTTTGTTTTTAAAGATGAAGTTTAAGAAGCAAATGATGATGGAATCTCCAGCTCTGAAGTTAAGATGAGCCGATCCTACTATCTGCTTTTTACCTGGAGCTTTCCAGATTACCCGTCTCTCAGTGGATGCCACTAACCTTTCTTTCAAAATGACTTGCCAAATGCTTTACTTCCTTAGTACAATCTTCAGATTTCCAGAGTCAACACGAAGTTCTCATGTAATCCCAATACAACCTTCATTTTTCTATTGTGCCTCTCAAAACCTCTTTCATATTTGAAAATCATTTTTCATTATTATAGACATTTACACATCACAAAAGTCCTTATTTAGATCTCAAAATAGATACTTTAAAATACAATTTTGAAGTGAAAAATAATTTAATTCTACTTTTGTTTCTAAGAACATTGACTAGTATTGTTAATACTGGTCATATTAAATCATGTAGGGAAATTACTGACCATCAATTGCTCATTATTTAATAGACACCATCATAGCATAGTACTTCCCTGTCAGACTTCTGGTGGTTAATGCTGATTACTGACTTGATAAGATCTGAAATACTTAGGAAACAATCTTGTGGGCATGTGTGTAAGAAATTACCTTGTTGGGATTAACTGAAGTAGAAAAACCTAACTTACCTGTGGGCTGTATCACACCATAGGCAGGAATCCAGGACTCAATATAAAGGAGAAAGTGAGGTGACTGCTATTACATTTCTAACTTTGCTTCATGACTGAGGATTCAGTGTGACCAGTTATCCCACCTAAAGTTCCTACCTCCAGGACATCTTCACGTTGATGACCTATGTGTCAGGGATACCAACAAGCCTCATGACCTAGGCGGGGGTCATGGGGGGATGAGCCACAAGAGAGGAAGAATGAAACTCAGGACAGTGCCATCTTTGAAAGCACTAGATAACACTTAGAGAGTCTGACTTTGTGGTTTACTTTTCTTACAGATTTAAACAGAGAAGAACTTGTGACATGTGACTTTTATAATAAGAATGAATTCTATTGATGATAACCAGATTAGGGCCTAGGGAAATATCTGTAATAAAAATAAGGCTGTCTTCTATTGGTGGATGATACAAAGTGCATGGGACCTCTTTAGCAGGCATATGTTCTATTCACTGAGAGACAAAGCTCAAGATTAGGGCCTGATCAACTCTCAAGATATTGGGAGATTCAGGATCAGACCCGTAATGTAATAGTAAAGATTTATCCAGGCTGATTGTCCATTTTACACATTGGCATTCCAGCTAACGAAACACCATTCATTTACTTCCATTGAAAAAATTAGTCCTGTGTGACTGACAATCCTAGTTTCTTCAATGCCGTCTTTAAGCTGAGCCTCTTGCAACTGTTCTTTCATTAAATGGTGCTGGTCAGATGTCGGTGACCATGTCAGAGGAGCTGCAGTCAGCAATGCAGCTTACAGAGTTTAATTCACCTAATAACAAAGCTTAACCCTGGACAGGCAAAGCTCCTAGAAGGGGGTGGGGGGAGTTGTCTCCACAATGCTCCTCACTTCTGCTGTGCTTTCTCTTGCTTGCTGCTCCCATGATGCTGTTGTATTTGGCATAGTGTGGTTATTACACGAAAGCATCCTAACAGTATCTGGTATAGTGTCATTATTTCTTGGGGAAATTCCACTCCTCACTGGGCAATTTACTTGCAGAATATAATGAAGATAGTTTTTATAAGAGAAATTATAAATATATAGATCTATGATTTAATTGGACTTTTCTGAGCTACCCTAAAAGATATAGATGGGTTAAGAGAGTTAGCAAAGATAACTAGGAAAATGGTTTAGGTTATCTGCCAATTACTCCACTAAGAGATACAAAAAAGACAAAAATAGGCTAGATGTTACCTTCCTTTTAATTATACATGAGATTTGCAGAAGAAGGAAAATAAGAAGAAAGAAGTTTCATACATTGCATACCCATGAATTCTGCCTGTGGAGAAATAGACTGATGATTAAAGAAAACAATTATGTCCCTATACCCAAGGTTAGGCCTGAGTTCCTTGGTCCTGCAGCTTACAAAATTAATCACAGGCCCAGTATGCACCTTGAAAAAACAAAGTTGTGAAAGGAGATTAAACAGCCTTATTATATGTAAGGAAAAATAGATGGTTAGCTGACTACTGCTTTAAAGTTTTTATAGGATAAAAATCTGCTACACTGAAACTACAAACAGCTACCTCCAAGTAAAAAGGAGACTGGCTGGAATTTTTAGCTTGCTTAAAACATTGTTAGTTAGTAATAAAAGAATCGTTGTTATGGGGTAAAAATGTTATGGTGGGAAAATTTACACAAAGAAATATGTGTAGCTACTAGTGGTCTTAAGCTAACATGTAATTTGTGATCTTGGTGTGATTTCTTCTTATGTAATGATTTTAATTTGTTTTGGAAAATATGTAACCTGTGGTTGTGAGATAATCTTTTCTTGCACAAAAATCTTTGTTTTAGGAGTTATAAATGGGATAAGAGAAAAAGAAGAGATATTAAGAAGGAAAACCATCAGGGAAGAAGTAGAAGGATAACATCAGGGAAGACACAGAAGGAGAATAATTGGGGGAAAAAGGAAAATAACAGGGTAGAAGAATAGAACAGAAAATAAACATAGTAGGAACAACCAGCAGAAAGAAAAATAAAATGAACAACTAAGTTTTGGCCCTCAGAAAATCCCCCTTGCATTTTTTCATCAGTCCTGTAAGTTGACCTACCCTACATCTCCTCTCCAGTTTCTGTGACATCCTGAGGGCTAGGTCCCTTGGCAGCAGTCAGATATTCATTTGCTAGCAGTGATAAAAGCAACTAATACAAACGTAGAGAGCAAAATGAGGAGCCATTGTTTCAATACATCTAACACATGATTCTTAGGCTTTTGGAATTGGTTTGCTAGGTGTGGGATGAGGAGGACCACATTATTGGTGAAATTATTAAGGCCACTCTAGGTAGTTAAAAGGGAAGTTTATTTTGTGGGGTAACTTACAAGTGAAGGGATAGGTTAGAGGATCTGGGAAAAGTGTAGCACAGTCTGGTGGTGTTCTCTGGAGAACTCTGCTCGGTCTGCCTCCACCTTCCAGGGTCCAGGAACTAAGAGAGCTGGTACATCTGGATCTTGGGTCTTCAGGGTCCACTCTTGGCCATGTCATGTAGGCGTGACAGTTACCGAAGCCTCAATGGGGATTGGAACTTCCAGATCAAAGCTGGAATGGCTACCAACTACACCTCCACATCTATGCCTCAAAAGCTCTAGAGTGTTGTGAGTAGGGCTTAACAAGATGTTTCTATTAGCATTGAGAGGATAGCAATGCTGAGAAAAATGAAGAAATTAGAGGCTAAACTCATGAATCTTGATAGTGAGAACTCTATCTGGATCAAGGCTATAAGCCATTCAGTTATATTCTGCCAAAAAAGAGTGCATTTTAATTGGTTTTCTGCCCCCCAAAAATGTTTCTCTGTTCATGTGGTAACCCAGATCAAGCCAAACTGAACATGTATAACAACAGGTGTATTGTGCAAAGCAACTCCTGGGCAGGTTCACTGGTCTCAAAGATTGAGAAGTTGTATACCCAAGCTAAGGCAGGGAGGTTCTATAGAGTGCAGGTGAGGGGTGATGATGTATGCACCACAAACTTGGTTTGTGCCCAAGTATGGTCAAAAGTTGGGTGCTATTTTGTGGGGACTTGGGCTGCTGGCAACTTCAGAGGAGGAAGCTGCAATATCCGCCAAAAATGCAGACTTGAGTTTTGGCAACTTTCCTTTGTTCAGAGACTCTCTGAAAAGGCAGGAAAGATGGGGGGAGAGAGAGACAGAGGGATGGAGGGAGGGAGGGAGAGAGAAGAATTGGGCTTCCTGGACTATGCAGGGCCCGCCAGAGGCTCCCACTGAACACATTTTGCCTGTGTTCTTGGAACTGGAATGAGGGAGCATTTTAAAGTAGCTTAATGTGTGTGCATGCGTGTGCGTGTGCATGAGCGTGAGCATGTGCGTGTGCATGTGGTGTGTGTGTGTGTGTGTGTGTGTGTGTGTGTGTGTGTGTGTGTGTGAAGGAAATTTCAAGGTAGGTATTCAGTCTGTGGTTTGGTTATTACTTACATTTTTATTCAGGTCCACAGTGATAATGAGCTACAATGGTGACAGATAGATATAAAAATTAAAGTTTATTGAGAAAAAGACCACAAGCAAGTTAAAAATTGCAGCCCAGGTGTGTGTTGAGAAAAAGAATGTGCCAGGTACCAGGATAAATTCAAATTCTGCTCTTTACCAACTGAGCACTGTGTCAACTCTGTGCCCTTCAATCTTGTCACTGCTACAGTTGGGATAATAACAGTATCTGTTCCATAGAGATGTAGAGAGGAAATGTTTGTGGAAATGAAATAACTTGTATGTAAATACTTGTAATGCTACATTAAGTAGCATTCTAAAGAGTAAGAGAGATAGAGGAGGAATGCTGGGATTACCTACTATATAAATAGAATAAATCATGTGAACTTGAATTACTTCAGTCAGTTCCAAAAATATTCTTATGACTATCAAAATAAAAAGCAATTATCCATCACTACAGGATATTTTCATATATGTACAAGGAAACTAATGGTTCTATAAATAACATTTGTGCCTTACTTGACAGAAATTGTGTGTATTTCATTGGCTCCATTTTTTTCCTTTTCTTTCAGTTGGCAAAGTTACTTATTGGATTATTTTTTAATTATTTCTTTTGTTTTTGAGAAATAATCACACCATTTCTCTGCTGTGGGATGTCTTTCTGTATGCTGTGAATATGTGTTGCTCCCACTGGCTAATAAAAGAAGCTGCATATGGCCTATGGAACCAGGTGGGGAAAATCCAAGAGAGATAGACAGAGGAGAAAGGAGAGAGGGGAACATGTCAGCCTAGTGCTCAAGGAGCAACAACATGCCAGCAGACCGATAATACCATGGCCGGCCACCTGGCAACTTATGGATTAATGGAAATGGGTTAATTTAAGATATAAGAGCTAGCTAGCAAGAAGCCTGCCATAGACAATTCAATTGGTAATTAATATTAAGCCTCTGAATGATTATTTGATAAACAGCTGAGGACCCATGGGACTGGGTAGGACTGGAAATATCTTCCAGCTGCATTTCCCTCTTCTCTTTCTGCCTTTCAAGCCCTCCTTCCTCTCTTTCAGAATCACAGCTCGTTTTTTCATTGTTCCTCCTGCTCTCAGTCTTCCTTAGTAGTCTGCAATCATGTGTTCTGTTAA